CTCACTCCCCACCCTCACCCCCTACCCTTCCCCTCTCATCTCACTCCCCACCCTCACCCCCTACCCTTACCCTCTCATCTCACTCCCCACCCTCAGTCCCCTTCCCACCCTTACCCCACCCTCACTCCCCATCCTCACCTGTAATTCTAGATTCCTTGCTGTCTTTTGTCTCTTCTCTGCCCTGCCTTTACCCTTCATCTTTCCTCCTCTGGTGGTTTCTTCTCTGTTCTCTTTCCTTGGCCTGCCTGGTTTGCGTTCTCTTCCTCCAGTGGATGAGGTCTGACCTCTCTCCAGTCTTGCCTTCTCAGCCAAGAGGAGTTTCTCTCGTTCAGCTTGTGCTCTCTTCTGCATCCGTAGTTGCTGTTGCTGTTCTTTGATTTGTTGCTCAAACTGCAGCGTCAGTTGCTCAGCTCGTCGCTTCTGTTCTTGTTCTCGTAACAGCTGCTCCTGTAGCTCTTTCTCAGTCAAAACTGCATCTTTAGGTTGTTTCCGCTGCACAGAATAAAAACAAATTACTTCCGATGAGCTGCTTTTTCATACCATAATTTTCCATGTTCAAACTTGGTAAGCACGAACTTTAGTCCAATACTGAATCACTTCACTGCAAACTATGGGTGCACAAAGTGTAGTGTAGCCTACAGTGTAAATACACCCAGCAGTAAACTATCAGCGCAATTAATGGTCACTGCCAAGACTCATTATATTGTACAAAATGTACGTTATGTCACACCATCCAAAGGACACCTACTACATCAACACTCAGTGACGTAAAAAAGTGCCTTGAAAATAGCAAAGAAAGCATAAGAGGGCTGGATATAATGCATAGCCATGAGATGGCATGTACAAGAACATTCATATGGCTGTGGAAAATATACCATGTCTGGAGAGTTTATCAAAGTACATTTCAAAAGGATTACTATTCAACAAGACAGTCATATTGGAACAGTCTCATTTTTTGTTTGACCAGAACAAATTTATCAGAATCTTGTCATCATGCATGTACACAGATACCTGTCACTGTGACAATGCAATATAAATGCATATGTACCGGGTATGTGGTTTCATTCCCAGTAGTAAGACTGATGTCCCCTAAGTCAAGTTAGGATATTTTAGTATGATAATACAAAGTGCAGAAAGGGCTTCTATCTAGCGGTAACACAATGAGTGTTGAGTAATGCTAGGTCTAGGACAGTTCGGTTTTGAAACCACACACGTACACATTTTATACTTTGTGTTTTGCTGAACTACCTAAGGAGAATATTGTCCTTCCCCATAAAGACAAAACTATACACGTATGTGTCTTGATATTGACTTTGTAGTAGGGGCAAAACTTTCAAAATCTCCCAAGCAATGAACATGGAAGGCATGATGACCCACAGTAAAGGGTGTCCTTCACACAGATTAAACATGTTAGCCTTTCTCATGTTAGTAGAAATATATGTACTTAATCTTAAATTTAAATGCATGAGTTATATGTGTGGTTCAATAAACAAAATGAAATGTGTTGATAGCCAGTTTCATAAACTAAAATTGTTATTACGCCCAATCACGAGAGATAAAAGGCTGGAAAATTTTCAGAAATTAATAAAAAAGTAAAGAAGGCTCAAAAGAATAATCTCTCAAATGCTTTGCCACTGGAGTTGTGCTGTACATGTACAAAGTACATGTAGGTGATTTTTTTTTCCTCAACCAGATAATTTTACATATCTAGTGCACAGACAAAGCCACCAATAAATCCAAAACCTTGGGCAGCATTTACAGTATTAAGCAAAGCACAAATCAAAAACTATGGCCACGTACAAAAGCATAAAAAAGAGTCATTAAAAGCAAAAACATGAAACAGGAAATGATTTTTTCACTGATTATAAATATAGGTAGAGAAGTTTTCACTTGTAGTTTGTTCAGACAACCACCCATCATCAATGATATCTTGAATCTTGAGACTTCAACATACATTTGATACACAAAACCAGGCGTACATGTACAACCTTCCAACATTGAACAAACTTTGTTTCTTTTCCTTTCTAAACTGATGTGATCATTTCTGTTTCACTTGGCTGACTTCAGTGCTGGTTCATACTTAACAAAAATGCCAATGTAAAACAAATTTCACATCACAAATCACCCCAGCAAAATTTGCTTGTGCTGATATGCATTCAACTTTAGTCCCGTACTTGTGCATCATAAGAAAAAAAAATCTGCAACACCCTGACTTTCCTGTGAAGTAAAAACGGTTTTTAAGGGGGTGAACTGATGCAACACCCTGACTTTCCTGTCAAGTATGAACCATTTTTAAGGGGAGTGAACCGATGCAACAAGAATTCCCATCACCTCAAAAGCCTCCTGCAATGTGTTAGTAGTGCAATGATCAGTGCCGTCAGATGAGGTGGTGATAGGAGTGAGAGAAGGGGTGGTAGATGTGGTGATGTTGAGATCATTAGTAAGTGACTCAGTAGTGACCTCCTGTCCGCTCTTCCTGTGGTGATGATGGTGATGACGATGCTGGTCGCCATGACGATGGTGATGTTTCTTTTCAGAACGCTGTTCATTAGAAGCACTGCTCTTTTGTCCTTCCTTAGGTGAGAGTAAGCCAGCCTTCTGTTTGCGGTTCAAGGAACTCTGTTGCTTCTCTCGGATGCTCTTTTGTTGCTCAAGAAGCAGTTTTTGACGGGCTTCCAATTCTTTCTTAGCCTGTCATTTAGAAACAATGAAACAGTACATGTACCGGTACTTCCTGCCTGGAAACCTTTAAACATTCAAAACAACTTAACCTGTGCTTACCAAGGCCCTTTACATCTACATGCACATGTACGTTAGGTGTTTTAATGTTTACATACCTGACAATCCTAACAAAGTGTGTAAACAGTCTCCTTAATGTGACTTTCACACACTTCGAAATATTTCAAGTTATTTTTCATTAAAAATAAGCAAACTGTTAATGTGAGTTGCATTCCACATTCCATAAAACAGTATTTGATTTCATATTACATGCCAGTAATGATTTGGAAAGTGGCACATGACTCATTTGGAGAAATACGTGTATATGGTTTGGAGAAAAAAGAACTGTTCACATTAAAGTCAATGAATTGACAAAATGATACAAGCTTCAAGAGGTTAGACTCCATTCAAGTCATTGTTGACGCAAGTAGGCCAAAGGAGTATGAACAGCTAAAAACCTCCATGCTTATGCAAGAAGAACTCAATAAAAATGCAGACTTGATCCAAGTTGTTCCTACCTGCATGATTTCTGCCATCTCCTTCTCATCACTGTACTGATCAGAATCACTCCCAGAATCTCCACTGCTAACCTCTGACATGTTGCTGTCAGAATCTCCTGAGCTCAAACCGTTGTCACTACTGTCGCTACTTCCTTGCTTGCCAGGGTCCTTTGATGAGGCAGATGAACTTTTCTTCTTCTGAGGGGACAAAGCTGGGGAACTTGATGGTAAGCTTGTTCTTGGGGAAGGGGATTTGGAGGAACGTTGTCTGGGTGATGATAAAGAGGGGCTGGGAGTGGACACCTTGATGCTAAGTTTCTGTGGTAACAAATGAATAGGAAATAAAAATCTCAAGATCATTTCAACAGGCAACTGATGAAACTGGATATATGCAATACATGTTGCAGTTGATAAGAACATAGGCACCTCAAGACAACTTCAGGAAGAGGGACCAACTGTCAGGCCTTGCTTTTGGGGTAATTCCAGAAATTAGGGGTTCAATAGTGTGACTTTTTCACGTCCTTGTTACATCTGACCTTTGTGGTTTGACAGGGAAATATCATCAGAATTGATTTCAAACCATTACTATTTGTTTGGCAGGTAACTGGCATTAATCCATCACTCTTGGAAACTAGAAAATGTGTTCTCAACTTACAAAATCACATGTCAGATTTAATAGGGACACGAATAAATGGACCCCTAATTTCTGTTACCCTTTTGCAAAAGAGAAACTTCAGAAAAAAAACATGTAGTTAGGAAAGAACAAGGCTAGACAACATGGACATTTGATGATCAATGCACAAAGGCAAGAATACAAAATAAATTTACGACTATTGACAGTGCCAGTTTGTGGAAATTAGATTTTAGGGCAAGAAGTACTTGAGAATTATTCAGCCCATTACTTTCCAAGCACTTTTGTCATAAAAACTTAGATTTTATTATACAGTAATGGTCTGAACTCATTTTATTTTGTAATGTCACCTTTATGTGTTTACTGTCTAATCCCATGTTCTATAACTTTGTCCCTCCAAAGTGTGTCGTTAAAACAAAACATGGACATGACATTATACATGTACATGTATTTATTACACATCTGCGGTCTACCACGCAAGAGGCTTGTCCCATAGTGGCTAAGCAGACAACAGACCGATCATAAATGGCAACAGATGTTTTACGACTCAGTTTTCAGAATTTAAGGCATATTTGATTGAAAAAGCTTGGAAAAATGTCCCTAAAATATCCCTCATTAATGAAGGTACATGCAACTGTCAAAGCAGAGCTCAACTTTCCTTTGTGTGTGTGTGTGCTGATTCCAACACATCAAACTCCAAGTTTTCCATCCCATCTTAACAAAAAAGCCTTACATATTCTACAGTACATGTACTTGACTGATTGATCAATCAGCCTATCAGTCATCAATCAAATCAGTCCATTGGTCAATTCACACCCACCGGTACTTCTTTGATGACAGACACTGCTTCCTTGGGAGTAGTCAGTGGAGCGGGTTGATGGCTAGGTACAAGGGTTGGTGTTTGACTCAGTAAGGGAACCCTTAGTGGATTGGGACGATCTGTCTTCCGAGGTCTTCCCCGACGACCAGTACCTCGTCTCACGGCTCCAGTGCCAGACACATTTGTCTTGGGAGCTAGATTCAAAGGGTACATGTACATGTAGATTGATATAAATAATTAATCATTATGCATCTAAGGATAAGATTGGATCTTGGTGACTATGCCAATCTGCCCTGAGCTGAAGTGCACCCCCAATCGGCGAAAGAAAGACAGGTGGTTACAAGTGGGTTCTTGAACACGTTCAACGTGTACGCAAAGACCATACATGTACATGCCAAAATAAATTAGTTCCAAGTACTCAGCGTGCTCTGCATCAAATACGCATACATGTACATGTACCGTATACTTGCATGCCTCATGGCGCGCCTATGCCGTACCAAAAATCACGCCCTCTTTTGTTCCCCTCGGGGCAGATAAAGGTGTGATCAAAGATTTCTTTGCTAATAATGATGACACTTAAGGGCATCAGTTTGTAGTTTTTTGTGTGTGTTTTACTTTCTCAGCACATACATGTACTAGTAGGTGAGGAGAGCAGAATGGTCCTTCCAAAAAGTTTTCTAAATATTGTCTATCATTTTAATTACATGCATTATCTCAGTGGTCCAAATGAAGATGATCTGTAATGGACCAAACCACCTTTCCGATATATTCCCATGAACCACATGTACATGTACTGTATGTGTACTGGTATGCAGCTGCGTCAATACAAACTAAGACTCTTTTACATGCACATGTAGTTTCTCTCTCCACACTACTTACTTTTCTGACTCTTAAAGAGTGAATCAAAGCCAGCAACACTGGCCTCTTTATCTGCACTGGTACCATGTCCAAAGGTAGTTGACAAACCAAGACTGTGGGAGTAGTAATCATGGCCAAGTGCACCTAAACTGTGTGATTGCTGCCACCACGGACTACCACCTTGATAAAGATAAAGAAAGGCCCAAAACAGAGAAAATCAGTCAAATCTTTAGCATTCAGACTTGTAACTGGTGACATTTGGATTATTTAATCTTGTTTGTAGTCAATTTACATACAGGTACATGTACATGTATTGGAACATCAGAGGAGGATTCACCAGAATCTTGTCTCCCTAAAAAATAAACCAACTGTGACGCTTCCAGAAGCCAAGGATACACAAATCTAAAGGTTGTTAACTAACCACCCCAAGATTTTGTATTTACTATGAAAGTGTTTAACAGAATTTTCAACAGCTCCTTGTACAACCATGACAAACGTACAATACATGCATTTATCTTAATGGGCACGATAACAAACATGTACATGTACAATGTACATTGTACAACATTTGGAAAGGTAAATACGTGTACTTAGAAAAGAACTAACCGTGCATGATAAGTTTTCAATCACTGCTACCGATACATGTACGTCATACATGTCCAAACAAAACAGCTAGACGCCAAATGTGTATCCGGACCGGTACATGTACATGTACATGTACATTGTACAATGTTGCAAAGTACCGCTACTTGTATGCAAATGAATGGCTAACCGTGCAAAATGTGCTCACTTGACCAGTAATACACAGTACGGCATGTCGACTACAGATTCCCACATGGAGTAGAGTCAGTGCACATGTACATGTGTGTACAATGAATTGTAGGCCTACTCAATGCAGCTTTACTTAGAGTACATGTACATGTACAATAACTCCTACTTACCCAACATGTACCGGTATGTATCTGCAGATGTATGTACACATGCACTTCTGTACGTACATGTACTTACATACATGAATGTGGGTACATGTACATGTACATGTACATGTAGATCAGATCATGGAGCTCCATGTACATTGTATGGGGTCTGTTTGTTTCTCATGGATCTGCATCACAATCAGTGATTCCAACACTGGTTCGTACCATCCATTGGGTGAGTTTTGGTGTCCATATGGGTGAGTTTTGGCAATGTTTGGCATCCATAAACCAGCGATGGATTGCAGATTGTGATCCAGATGTGTGTGAAACAAACACAGCCATTGAAAAAGTACCATATCAACGCACATGTACGGGGAACAGGGCACACACAATGTACATACATGTATGTACACTGTACAATGTACATACATGTGCTTATGCCATAAAAACTGTAAAAGTTCAAATGTCGCGAACATATGTAAATGGCATTACAGGTGTACAATGAGCAGTACATGGTACACCTGTATCATGATGGTTAACTGCTTGCCAACTAAGAGGCTATTTTCAGAGCATGCTATCAATGGCCCTGCACTTTCCCAGGCCACTGCACTGTTTCAAACACTCACAAACATCTTTATGACATCACGAGAACTCCAACAGAATCATTTACCTCACAATTACCATTTTGCAAAGTGATCTGCATGGACATACACAGACAAAAAGTTAACAACACGGCAAAAGAAAATCATCTCTAAAGCAAGTTGGCTAGCAAGCGGCAGGCATGCACTGTAGACTATCCAGCACTGTGACACATGCAAAGTCTCACAAAGAAATCTACAAGGAACGATTCAAGAGGACCACATGGTGAATGACACGCTTGAGTGCGTGACTCGGAATAACGTATGGTATCTAAACATATACATGTACAATACTAAGAAAAGAAAACACTAATAGGCCACAAAATGTAGCCTAAAACTGACTCAAGTACCAAAACAAAACCCGGCAAAACATAAATTCAACAGTCAATCATAATATCATTTAATTAAAAACCTCATCAGTACATGATTGATAAGGAGTCAGGTTCAGCCTGGTGTCACTTCAACTTCATTGCTGGCTTGATATAAAACTTTTAGTCCATATGAAATTGGCAACTGAATTACTCTGAATTACATTTTGTAAGTATTTGTAAAGTACCAGTACCATAAACTGTAAGCACATGTATTATTACTTTAAGTCAGCTGAAGAAAGAACTGTATAATTACTGGTATGATGTAGAATCTTGACTAAGAAGAAATCAAGTTTTTAATTACCTGTCAACAATTTCATATCGAAACTTCAAAAGTGCTTTGAAATGTACACGTACATGTACACTGTAAATAACAGAAACAATGTACATGTATATGCACACTGCACTGTAATATTTAGGGTATACTTCTGTCAGCATCCTCAGTCTTCATCAATCTACATGTAAATTCTAAGTAAACAAATCATGACTTTCATTCTTCTTTCCTGACAACATTTTCCTTTTCTAATTTATATACTACATGTACATGTAGTCCCCTTCATGTCTACTAATGCCATCTCAAATACAGTCAACTACATGTACATGTACCGGTGCGACTAGTAGATGTCAGATTTCAAGATGTCCACCAATGACACGACAGGATGCCAGGAGCAGCACACCAACTACACGCTACAAACCAAAATAAAATCATTTCACAAAGCGACAGCACAAAAACTTAAGATGGAGGAGGAAGACATTTATATTGGATCAAAGTGTTGTAATCACCTAATGCTGCCAGACTAAACAACTGAGCGCTGGCCTCAAAAGACCACCCTAGGGAGTAAATGAAGCATGAAAACAAAACAATAGAAGAATGGATTAGTAAACAAAATATTGTTTGATCCATACTAGTAAGTGTTCTTATTTTTGTTCATGTACCTGCTCAGTAATAGACAATTTTATCCCAACTGTTCTCCAATTGTGTAATGTACATGAACATTGTCATCTTCTAGAGTACTGAAAGCACACATGGATTCTCAAAATTCGATGAGTCAACCTATCAACCAGTGTCATACAGCCACCATGTCACACAACACAAAGGGCATCAACTACCCTCAATCATATACACTGCACATGTACAAAGAATGACGTTATGAAAAGGTCTATTGCTGAGTACATGTACATGTGTATATGTACACATACATGCACTTATGCCACGACATACCAACAGGTCAGCTTGTTCATAAAGCTTCAAAAGAATCTTCCAAATTTCAGGTAGTTTGTCAAATACAAACAAAGAAATTGTCTCCATTGCCTAACAATGCCTTGATTAAGAAAGGACAAAAATTTCCAGTTTCTTTTCCAACCCCAGGAATATCAGCAGTGAAATCTTCTAGATGACTTTGTAATGCCATGTACATGTACAAACAGCGTACATGTATGGTTTTCTCTGTCCAATACTATGGTACATGTACATGTACCAGTATGTTATCATCGTAAAGTACATGGGTGTACATGTGTACGTAACGGTACATGTAGGTTACTTACAAAAGTATGGTGGCCGAGGATGGACCAAGTAAATATTTTTGAACTGGCAACAAATATAAATCAGATTCTTAAACTTTAATTGGCTGTAGTCGATATTTCTAATAGAAAATCGAAACGTATAGGGTACAGAAACATTACATTTTGCTGAAGTGTGGGACCTGAAACTGTAGAATTTCGATATTCAACAAAAGCTATAAATCTACCGGCACAACCATTACAAAGTTTTTGTGAAGGGCAGAAATTGTACATGTTCTCACCTGTAGATGGACTGATGGGACTATGAGTGGATATAGCAGTCGGCGATCGTAACGGACTGCTCAAACTCTCTGAAACCAATGACCCAAGACCTCCAAACTCTGACCCCAGGGGTCGCCCTGCAGCAGCAGCTGCTGCAGCAGAGTAGGCATTGTGACCAAACATGGAAAAGGCACTAGGAACGTGGGAGATGAGGGGGAAGGAATCGTGGCTGGTTGAGGGTTGAGAATACAGAGGCTGACCTGCAAAGAAAACAAGAAAAGATTTAATGTGATACATGTAACATAAGATTACATGTATTACGGTAATTCAGCCACTTCTTGTACATTTCAATCAATCCCTGGCCACTGGTTGGAAGTAACCTTGCTTTGAGTCATTTTTGGAGACCCCAACTGTGAATAATCCCTTCATACATGTAAAATGTGCGAGGCACCATCAACCAGTTCCCAATGTACTCACTGATTTGGTGTGATGTGTCAAAGAAGCTACTACTGAGGGATCCCACAGGACTTTTCTGAGAGGAGCCTTCTCCCTGCTCCATCCTGGTGAACAAAAGGAAACAAACGTGCATCATCAGAGGTCACCGGTAACTTAAGAACCTAGATATTTCTTCAAGATGTACATTTCATGATAAGGAAGATACCTGGCATAGCGGTACATGCATTGCAATTGCAGTCTTTCTTTCAATTGTTGATTGAAAGGACTATTCAGTATGCAGTGGTTTTTTTCTCTCGTCAAATAAATATGGCATTCACAGAATCTTGCTTAATACACTTGGTAGACTCAATTTTTTCATTTCTTCATATACATGTATGTACTGTACTGAACACGTACATGTAGACTCTCCACTACAATCAGTGACAATGAAAACAGAAATTTAATGGAGTTCTCTTGAGTTTTAAATCCTTTCTAATGTCAATGTTTATGTACCGGTACATGTAAATTAAAGTTAGAAGCAAAGCAATCTACATGAACATAAACACCCATAACTATCAGTAAATGTATGAGGAGCCTAGGGAAATAAATAATGTACAGGCCCAAGTTGTATGTACATGTACCTCATCCAAGCCACATGTACATGTACCTCATCCAAACCACATGTACATGTACCTCATCCAAACCACATGTACATGTACCTCATCCAAACCATATGTACATGTACCTCATCCAAACCACATGTACATGTACCTCATCCAAACTACATGTACATGTACCTCATCCAAACCACATGTACATGTACCTCATCCAAACTACATGTACATGACCAATGGATGGCAACCAGCACTGTGTACATGTACTTGTACCGAATTATACATCTTATATGTTTTTCTAGCAACAATTGCAAGCAATCATAATGAACATGACTTAAATGCCATATGCCCATGGCGCCCCTAATGAGTTGGTAAACAGCTGGGAAAAAAGGTTCCCCCCCCCAGTGATGGCAATTTGAATCTGTTATACAGTGTAATTTACAATGCTTCACTTCTCCCAACATCTCTATGATATCTAGTCAATACCGTGGTCATATCAAGATTGTCTTCATCAATAAATTATGCTGGCTTTTTTCAGCGGGGGGGGTGTCTCTGTTAAAAATAGAGTAACCTTTCTTCATGAGTCGGCAAGCACATGTACACTAGAATGTCAATTGGTCTGTACACTAGCACACCGGTATGTCAACATGCACACTGGTGTCAAATGCACACTCTCAATGAAATCACTAAGTTTCAAAACTTCAGTTCAGTTGTTTGAATATTGTAGTCAATTGTAGTAATGACCATGGACTTGTGGGAATCTTTTTTTAACCTTTTTGGTCAGAACAGGGTTGAGAACAACCAAGCATCATGTTTGTTTCACAATGTTTAGTTCATTTTGACATCACAATGGATGTGACTAATTTCAAAACCTAGTAATATTATACAGTGTACTTTTCAACTTGTGATTAAACTATGATTTCTGTTTGCCAGAACAACCATTTTGCATGAGCTGCAAAAAGATATCACTTTCTGTTAAGCCATTTTTAAACATAAACTTGAAACAATTTAAAATATTTGTCCAATTTGTTGTAGTGCGTTTGCTGCAAGAATGAGCAGGCAAACCTCACCACATGTGTACCATCTGCACAGCATCCACGATTATTCTCAAGATTTAAAGTCACAACCTGATCAGGCATTTGATGAAGAATTGTTGGAAAATGTACAAAAGCGATTGTATCAGTACATGTATCTCAACTGTTTAATATCAAAGTTATAATTCTTCTGAAGAAAATCAAATTAGAGTGGAAAAACTCTGGAGGTGGATAATGAAATACCGGTAGAATGCAAGGTCTGGTAGCACAGATTGATTCCATACCAGTATGGCAGGGTGAAACATGGACAAAAAAAAACCCCATCATGCTACACACTGGTCTGCTGGTACTTACATGTACCGGTACAACCTGCTCTGTGAAAAAGAGTCCGAAATTGCCTTAGCCACTTTTGATTTTTAGGTTGTATTGGAAAGAGTAATTTGAGCTCTTTGTTTTGATGTAGGCCTACATTATACCTGTACATATTCGTATCACTTACTTTAATATATCATGATGAAAATGGACACCATACAAGTGGCAAATGTTGAGGGTTCCTACAATGTACTTCTTTAGAGGTTGTCAACTCTAAAGTGGCCACAGCCACTCATTTCTTGTTTTTATGGACAAGATGAGAAGTTCACAATGCCTGCATGTACATGTGTGTACATCATGTACCGGGTACGGTACATGTTTGTGTATGTGCACATAATGTAAGGTCCACATCAGACCTGTTCATTTACTTGATTTGGTACATGTACAAAGTACAACATACATGTACATACATTTACATACATACGTTTATGTAGATTGAAAGTAGGCAAAAGTCCTGATGCACTGGTCACTACAGTACTTCTGTAAACTAAAACGTGTTCATGTACAGTATACATGTACATGTACCGGTATACAATGTACACATGTATACATTTGCATGTCTTTATCCTTCCAATCAGCAATCTACAAAGATTTGTAATCATCTTAGCTCACACATATGTAATAAGGGAGTTACAATTTTGATACACATGTATGGCTTCAAAGCCATGAGCAAGGCAAGATGATACATGTACCGGTACATGTACATGAAGAAGGCATGATAATTACAAGTTTGAGGCTAATCCAACAGAAATCCTACTCATTTGTCTTGTCTTCATACTCAGCTAATTACATACTTATGATTGATCTAAAAGGATATCTAATGATACCTTTTCAATGTCATTATTAGTACAGTTGAGACCTACCGTACATGTACTGTACATGTACCTCAACCTGTAATGTACTGTACATGCATTATGTGATATACATGTACATGTATGTACGTGGCTAGCATTTCTTCTGATTTTAAAAACAGCACTTTGTGCAAAGTTATTTAAAGGACGTCTTAGACTAACATTAAATGTCACACGGAAGTGGTGTTTTACTGCAATTATGATCCAAAAACTAGATTTCTCTTTACAATAAGGCAGCCAAAAGCGGAAGAGTTAAAAACAGACTGAATCCCTTCTGCATAATTCAACCTTAATCCTGTCAGTCTTTTCTCAAAACTTTTAACCCCAGGATGTTGATAATTTGTTCAGCAATGAAATTCAGCTATTTCATCCTTCAAAAATGATGCCATTTGATACATGTACATCTCAGTGACGCACTAGCAGACTAGTAAGACAAGCCTCTCTTCTTTACCCTTGACCTCAAGCGAGAACTTTCCTTTACAATCTCATAAACGTTACAGGAATCCCTCCATTAATTTATTTCCATAATTTCCTTCCTTTTTGTCAAGCTCATAATTTTTCCTCTTGAACTCCTTAATGCATTTCAATGTGAATTTAAACAATACGCATGATGTGACAACTGTACAGAATACAAACGAAGACTACCGGGTATTTCAGAACATTGTAGGCCTACAGTGTACATGTTTCATTCAACAACAATCAAGATAACAGGGAGTAACTAAAATTTTCAACTACATTTATGCTTACTGGTTCTTTATTTCTTGTAGGATACAAGAACAATTCAATGAATCCTAAAAGAAATCCAAGAAGTTACCAACCATTTAATGACAAGTCATAAGTCTAAACGATGTATGTTACTGTATGTACTGTACTTGTAGCACTGTACATGTGTACAAATGTACCGGTACACTCCGTTAAACTTTACAACTGAAGCAAAGTTACAGGGCAAAAAGTTACCGGGTACCACACCAATAACTTATTAATTTTTTATTTGTCAGACACTTTATTGATGTCACTGTAATTTATCATACACAGCTGTAGCGTACAGCTATAGCTATAGCGTATAGTGTATAGGGCATACCGTATATTTCACATAACTTCCATGACAGGCTACTAAAAGATCATCATGTGACCGTACAAATGTCTCAGGTACGGTATATCCTTTCAAGCATTTCCTTGTACCAGTATGGTAACCAGTTTTTTCCCTTTGTTCGTGTAACCCAAACAATAGTAAAATCCAACGCCACTGATGTCATTGCCAAGAGAGTAATGTTCCCCAGACACTTGAATATGTTTTCTATAAACGGGGTGATCAGGCAGATACATGTACATGCACATGTACTGGCAAATGGGACTGTACTGTACTTGATGTACATGAACCAGCAAATTTTGAAAAAAAAAACCAACTTATCTTTGGCTTTTATTCCTGGTCACAAAACATAAAGAAAAGTTTACATTTGGACATACCGATACAGTACATGTACCAGGTACGTGCACAAGTATGCAGAAACCAAGAATGAAAACACAGATAATTCCTTGGTTACATCAATAAGTGAAGAATTACATCTTCCTCAGCAATATGCAAGAGAAAAGACTCAAATCTGAAAACGACAGTGAAACTGATTGTACTAAAGCAGTACACATGAAATGAGTACATGTATTTTCAGAGCACTTAAAACACTAAGCAAGAAGGATAGAGTAGGATGTCAGAACACCATATGTCTATCCTATCTGAGGTCATTTGTCTCTTCTAGGGATTATTCCATTAAGTAACAGGAAGCCCACCCCCACGGCAAATGGCCGACCAGTTGGTCAAAAAATTGAACTGCAAAAGCAATTCAGTGGACAGATAGTCATGTTATTCATCGTCTTCAGTGTACTTTAACAAAGTCAATGACTTTGATCATATGCTGGTATGACTCATAACTGAAACTGTACTGAAAAAACAACAGGTGTACATGTAAATGTACGTGTATGCTCCTTGCTCATCTACACATACATGTACATGTACATGTATACACATACGTGTAGGCCTGCATAAAGTGAGTACAATGTACATGTACTTTACGTACATGTACATCATTTATGTGACACGTTCAGTATTTTAACTGCTCAGGCCTACGTACGTAATTCCACCTATCCAACCTTCACCCCATTAAAAGCCTCATAACATTGTACCATAAACTCATTGTCCCAACTTAAGTGATTCTTCAGTAAAACTTAAATCTTTTACCTAAAATCCCATTATTTTTTT